CTTCAGTAAAAGTAGAAGTATCAGAGTGTAGGAATACTCTATCACAGTAAAAGTCCTGCATTCAAAATGTTCAAGTAAAAATAGAAAAGTATTCTCATCAAAATATAGTGAAAGTAGCAACAGTAAAAGTAGTCATTGTGCAGATTGATCCATTTCAGAATATTATATATGATTTGTTTTATAATGATTGATCATGAAAGTGTTCTCAAAGCTGGTAAAGGTGCAGCTAGTTTGACTGACTTTGTGTACTGCAGGGTAGCTTGTGAATTTACTCCAGGTGGAACTAAAGTCTGATTTAACACTTGATTATATTTCACATCATTCATCCACATCTGTGAAGTAACTAAAGGTATTAAATATATGTATTGGAGGAAAAGTACACCTTTTACCTCTGAACTGTAGAGGAGAAGAAGAACAAAGTAGCAAAACATTGAAATATAATAAAGTACAAGTATCTCAAAATTGTACCCACGTATAGTACTTGTTGAGTTTATGAACTTAGTTACTTTACACCAGTGGCTATAAAGATAGAAAGACTAAGCCTTGCACAGAGGCATGAAAATACATTTTCAAAATGCTCAACAGTCCTGCCAAAATTATAAACTGACTGCTACACGATTAAAATAAATGCTTTTATATATTTCTATTAGATGTGACTCTTTGGCGTTTCTGTTATTATTAACACTGCTGCTTTAGTTGTTCTGACTGCTAAAATCCTCTGTTATTCCTAAACCGATATTCCATGGGGTCGGGGGCTCGGATCCTTGTCACCTTTTTTCATACCTGATGAGTTTGCATCCCTGACTACAGTTGCTTCAGCGTGTAGAAGCTAGTAAGCCTACTATTTGATTTGTTTTAGATAGGTACAACATGTTTCATATGCAGACCTTATTTTCCTGTTCCATGTTCAAATAAACCATTTTCAGTGGTAATTTTTGTTTGGTCATGGAAAATGAGGTAAAGGTCATTGAGAAGTCTTGGAAAAGTCATTGCAAATCATTGGTGAAAAAGTGTATGAACCCTGATTACATTAATGCACACAATTACAACATTATTTAGTATTACAGCTGATTTTTATTACATATTTCATTCCATTGCAATGTAAATACTGTTATATTTTACTATATATTTTAATTATTTTCATATTTTTCTAGTTCTCTACCTGTGTTTTTAATTGTTGTTTTTATGCACCACGACACCAAGTCAAATTCCTCGTATGTGAAAACCTACCTGGTAATAAACCTGTTTCTGATTCTGATTGCTAAGGGAAATTCTACTTCAACATGTAGAGTGTTCTCAGCACAGCTCTAAGTTCCCCGCAGAGGTGTGGACTCGAGTCACATGACTTGGACTCGAGTCAGACTCGAGTCACCAATTTGATGACTTTGGACTCGACTTGACAAAATCACAAAACACTTGCGTCTCGACTTGGACTTGAACACCAATAACTCAGGACTTTACTTGGACTTGAGCCTTCTGACTTGAGGTGACTTGATACTTTAATTGAGGGGTCTCCAACACGTCGATCGCGAGCTACCGGTAGAAGAGCCCGTCGGGGAGAGCAGAATCTTCAGCCGCTCCTACTCTTGCTGAGAATCCATGCAGGCAGGGGCGGGACTTTATTTTGCTGGGCCACCATGCGGCCAATCATATGCGAGGACACACTAGGATCGTACCATTATGTGAAAGAAGGGTGGGGGGCAGACGCTCCAAAGACAGCAAGTGTAGTGGTACAGGCCAGCTACACAGAGCGTCAGATAGACGGGGAGCCGGCTTTAAATGCAAGCGCGTCGGAAAAAGTCAAGAAATTAGCGAAAACGGAAAAAATAAGCAGCATCTGGCTGCTTTTCAATGATATTGGAGAAAGCAAAGCTGAGTGCAAGATTTATAAAAATGAAAATAACCTTCAGAGCAGGGTTATTTTTTTGGTAACCACTCAGGATTTATTGTCAGAGGTGGGAGAAGTTCAGATCTTGTACTTGAGTACAAGTACCAGAGTGTAGGAATACTCGGTTACAATAAAAAGTCCTGCATTCAAAATGTTACTCAAGTAAAAGTACAAAAGTATTAGCATCAAAATATAGTTAAAGTACCACCTGCAGAGGGATCTAGATTCAGGTGTTCTTTTCCCCATAGAGACCGCCTCGCTGCACATTATCCCTTGCATAAAGATAGATTGTGGGTCCCTTATAACATGTTGTACACAGTGGAAATAAACATTCTGGTCACCTCAACATCAGGGATCTTATACATTAAACTCCTTCTGAATCAAACCGTCACGGTAGCATTACCTTACTGATCCCTCTTAAATTAGAAAAAAACACGTTACTTTACCAGCAGAGAGAAAATTGATTATTAAATTATTACTGTGACGAATAAAGAGCAGTTTGATTATTAAGTATTATTCTGTTGATGGATGTCATTGCATTTGGTGAAAAGCACATAATGACTTGTTTAAGACTCAGTTTTCAAAGTTTAGGACTTGGACTTGACTTGAACTTGCCCATCCTGACTTGAGATTTGACTCGGGATTTGCAAAACAATGACTTGGTCCCACCTCTGGTTCCCCGAACTTACACGACAGCTCCAAGTTCTTTGCATTAACAACATGGTTAAACAACAGTGCAGTTGTTATCTACAATTGAAGTTCATGAGGACCAAGATATGTATGACTAACTTAAACTGGACCATAAAATACATATGACTGAATCAAACTATACATGAGAGCAACCAATCCGAGTACTTTCTTTCTGCCCCGCCATTTTCAAGAGAGTTTTTCTTCAATCACATAAAAAAACTAAGAATACCGTGCAAATAGGATGGCCAGCAAGACAAACAATTAACCAATGTCATTGGAGATTGGTGGCGATACATAGTTTGTATTCAAATCAATATGATCGATGTATTGCAGGCAGCAAGCTAATATTAACAGTCAGTGTTTCATATTTCAATGCATATACAGTCACTAAAATGACTTTAACATTATAACTGTTTCCTTTGATGATTGACGTTAACTTTTTTTCCCTAATGTAGCTGTTAAATAAAATACATTTAAAAAATAATCTGCGATAAATTATCGATAACAATTGTTTTAATCCGCACATCTTCAATACAACAACTAGGGGGCAGCATGAGCGCCAGAGTGAGTGATTGACTTTGAATGAGATAGAGTTAGACGGAGACGGAGTGTAAACAAATCTAGATAGCGAATATGGAGAAGGAACATGATGTTTAATCACTTAAAGAAACGTCCTTTGAGAGGAGGACACTGGAGGGAAAGCTGAAAGTAAAAGAGCTCGGACCGGATCAGCCTGACATAGGCAGGAGTTAAGGACAGAGGAAGGCAGTATACGTGCTCTTTTTCAAGGAGCTGGTTTAGCAAGAAGGCTGGGGGCTAACTACCAACACCAGTGCTATATTTAGCTTCCCCGGTCTCCTTTTTCAAACGTCAGGATCAGACCAGTCTATGGACCAGACCCAGCATGGATCCAGACAGATGTGAGTGACTTAAAGCACATATCAGAAAAAACTAAAGTCCACATGGTTGATGCTATGCGACTAGCCATGTTTAGGAAAGTAAACACAGCTGTCCAATGAGGGTGACAGGATAGGGATCTGTAAGCATAATAAGGAGGTTGACAAAAACAGGCACTAAAATAATAGACTGTATCAAGTGCTGTGTGCCTTTGAGCTAGCCCTGCGTTGTAATATGTCATATGTTTTGAGTTTGCGTATAACTTTGCTTACATTTTGGTAGAGCCCCTCCTGGAGAAAAATGCACCATCCGCCACTGGTACAAGTATCAACCGACCGGGACCCATTGTTTATGTGTTTAGTTCTCTGTGTTGGTGTCCTGATGCAATAGATAGTTTCTTTTAACATCCCTTTTCCTAAGTGAAAGTAAAGAACATTGTAACTTTCAATATTTGTTCTTGTTTGACGTGCAATACACGAATCAGCAGCTTTTCAACTGTTTCCACCAATTGCTTGTTTTCACGGGAAAGGTGGTGGAGCCGTCATTTTGGAGTGCATCGTCTTTCAACCAGAAGGTTGTGGGTTCGATCCCAGCCTGTGCAGTCAACATGTCGATGTATCCTTGGGCAAGATACTTAATCCCAGTGGCGGACTGGCCATCGGGACGTTCAAGACGAATCCCGATTGGCCGGTACCGAAGTGGGCCAGTCAGACGATGTTGGCCGATCGGATAAGTCACGAGCGTTGACAATTTACTAGCAGTACCGAGGTGGGCCGGTCGAGAGTCCCGGGCTGATTTTTATTCCCAGTCCGCCCCTGCTTAATCCTGAGCAAGTTGTGATTGACTCGGAGTATGTAAAGCACTTTGAGGGGTCGTCAAGACCTTCAAAAGATATATAACTACAGTCCGTTAAGTCTATTTACAGCTACGTTGCACTGCTCTCATGTATGCTATAGCATCCATGAGTAAACTGTGAAACTGGTGGACACAGCGCTGGAAAAAAACGTATACAGCGCAGCAAAACATTGACGTACAAAGATCATTCCAGAACAACAGTGAGAGTGGAGCTTGCATTACCCTCTTGTGGTGACCCGTGCTGTGACCCTTACTGACCCTAACTTTAAAAGTTGTCTTTACAAACAACAACTACAAAGCCTAGTCGTTCTGCCTTTAAATTACTTGAGATTAAAGTAATTTTAAATTAATCACAGGGATGTACCGTTCGATGTAATCATCAAATCTTTCAATGTCCAAGCATTAAATGGCAGTGTGTTTTCCTTCAAAAACTATAGAGGATAAGTCCTGGAGCAGCTGCACAGGGAGGAATACAAACATGATCATTCATCTCCTGATTTAGTTTCTTTAAAATATATAACAGGCAATATGTTGTTCATATCAGGTCATAGAGTCACCTGCAACCATTTAGATCAGGGGTGTCCAAACTTACATGATGGATTATTTGTGGGGCAAAGTATGTCAAATAATGCTTTAGAAATTGAACTGCATATCTACTCATTTTAATAGTTTCTCTTCCGATGTATTTAATGTTACATTTTATTTATTTATTTATTTATTACTATTACTGGAAGTGTTTTATTGGACTCTGCTCTAGTTGCCAACCGATAGCCTTGGTTTGACTCATGAGATATTTGCAATAACAACAAACAACTTACAGGGGATTCCTTTCTTTAAATCTGGATGGACAGAATGTAGCCTTCACCTGTTGCCCTTATGTGAGCAAAAACGTTGCATGCACGATTTGAGGCCAGATTGACAGAATATTCTGATACTTAGAGTATTTGTGTGTTCTGAATTTATCCTTTCTTCTGTTGTTTTGTTCAGGAGATCAGTCGCCTATCAGAGATGCACTCCATTCACCCATGAGAGGTGAGTGTTTCTTATATCATATACGTAGCTTTTAAACACATAGACCAGTCCGTCTGTCTCTCTTTTAGACACATCGCAGTTTTGTTCCTGACACATTTTAGTAGGATTTTTTTTCATCTCTGGTTCCAAAAATATAATACTTGAACATTATGCAGTTGCAATTTTAAATCTCCTTTTGCAGTTTATTAACCAATAAAGAAAGCTCTAGCACTGCGGACTCTTTGAGGTCCTCTAGTAAAAACCTTACGGTGGATTTATCTGGCATTGTGTTAGTCTTTTTAACACCAGAGGTCTCGTGGAGGGCAAAGCAGGGATGTTCTTTTAACATTTATATCAAACCCATTTGGAATGATGAGGGGCTGCAGGCCTCATCATGTCTTGAACTCTGTCTGGTGCTTTGACGGGGGCCAAAATCTTCATCCACTTCAAGAATGGAGAAATATCAAACTAACATTTTTGTATTCGAAATGTTCAATATTTTCAAGCTTCCATAAAGCAGCAGATCAAACAGAGATACTTATTTTAAACTATATTTAACTATTGATTTACTTATAGGCTTCTTTATAAGGAACACTTTGATCAGTCTGAGCGTCTCCATTGGAGGCCATGCCCAATGTCAAACATTATGACACATCAAAAATGTGTTTTTTGGTTTCTGCTCATTTCCTGCTTCTCCTTACTAGTTTCATCACATCATATAGTTACCAAACTTTAGTGAGTCCTTAACTGTATTATTTCAAAAGTAAATATTCGGACACAATATTTTCTTTGCTGATCCTAACCAAATGAGAGTGCATGAGCCTGAGATGTTTCACTTATACAAAACCTTATTTGAATTTCGGTCCAAAAAGTAAACGAATCAGAATTGATCATTAACAGGTTATGAATTGGAACAATGTGGGACCGCTTCACAAAATTGGAAGGAAGTCTGCAATTTGTGCACGCTGAGGTAAAGAAGTTATGGAAACACACACACTCGCACACATAAACACGCACATATAAATACATACATAGGCTATAAGCATATGCGTACAAACGCATGCACGCACAGTCATATACATAATTTGGCTGGACAAACCACAAAAAGACAACGTTTGGGTTTGGAGTAGTGATGGCAGTTTGACACTGAAGCTTCGAACGGAGCTTCAACCCTGGACTTCCTATTCCATAGAAGCAGTGCTTCGAAGCTTGCTTCAAATCACGTGACATATGACGTCCGAAGCAGCAACTGCTTCAAATCACGTGACATGATGTGACGTCCGAAGCAGCAACTGCTTCATTTCCTGAATGAATCACTTGACTGGTTCGCGGTCCATTCACGCGATTCAATGCACTGCCTCGTCTCGATTCTGACAGGTGACAGGTTGAAACAGTTTCAAATTTGAGCGCTTCAACACTTTATAACTGCTCTAAACAATGCACAATGTGTGGGTTGTTGTCTTAGTTTGCATTGTTGCTGTTGAGTTGTTGTTGGTATTGCATTTTAATTGTAGTATCATCATAGAGCAAGCCAGGAAGAAAGATAGGTCGTTCTGGCTCGGGAAACACTTCGAAATGTGGAGAAATTGTGAACAAAAAGACAATTATCAGTAATATAAAAACAGTTCAATATTTCAAGGAATAGATAGCCAGCCCAGTGGGTAGAGCCGGCGGCCCGAATGCGGCAATGTCCTCCGCGCAGCTGGTTAAAAGCCCGGAATGGATGTATTTTATTCATTGCTTTTCAACTTTAATAACTGATAAAAGGCCCTCTCCGCCCAAAGACATGTCTAGCACTCTCTAGTCTCTTCTCAATAACCCAATACACACAATTATCAATCTTTAATTGCAAATAGAACATGATATTCAGTCTTAGTGTGTGTGTGCATCGAATATTTTTCAAGGCAAAGATACGTTAAACCCACTGCAGCCTTGCACTTCGCCAGGAGAGGTCGCTGTAACTGAAGCTTCGAGAAATGAACCTATTTCCGACACAATTGTCCAAGTGGTTCGATGCTTCATTCAAAGCTTCATTTTGCCATCACTAGTTTGGAGTGAGCTCAGATTGTCAGGGTGCGTGGAAAAGGTAGGACCCAAATACAGAATTTTAACAAAAAGCTAGCTTTATTAAATAATAAAATCTGTGTCAAAAGGCAGTATCCAAAATATCCAAAAACAAACGAGCAGCACAAGGAACATGGACCGTGGAATAACATGGAGGGAAAACAATGGACCGACATGGAACACAGGGGAAGACTAGACTAAATACACAGAAGGGTAATCACAGGACAAGACACAGCTGGGCAGGGGAGGGAGAAACACAAGGGCAACAGGTGAACACAATGAGACAATCAGACACACCAGGGAAACTAACGACAGGGAGGAGGACCAGACAAAACACAAGGAGGAAGACAAAAACACTGAATGAACAGACTTACAAAACCCATAACCAGACAGACAACACTAAAACCGTGACATAAACCTAGGAGTGTGACACAGATCCTTTTGATGTTACAGAAGAACGACGGCTTTTCTTCTCTGTGTTTCTCTACATACATCATGTCATTTTAATTGTGATTCACATGTGTGGCCAATTGTTGTCCATAGGTTCAGGAACAAAATTATAGCTTGTAGGATTTAAATTAACTCCACATTTGTTAGGTATTCATTTTTGGTGATCTTATTACTAGTATTGAGTTTTGAAGATGCATGTTTTGTTGCTTTTCATGAAAATAAAGATAACCTTAGATTAGTTTGCTGTCAAGTGTTATTTCATTTTTTAGAGACATAGGGGCAGCAGTCTAAGCAGGAGACCTTGGTAAGGAAATGAGGCTCTGTTTATGAACAGATACTATCAGATCATCTCTGTATCTGATCATCTAAGTGAAACAAAGAGGCAAATTGCTTTGGAAATGAAGAAAAACTTGGCCTCTGCGTTTCTGTACAGCAGACCAAGTCCCTCCATAAACATAGATTTGATTACAGCTGATGAACTTGATGCACCTCTCAAAATGAATGAAGTATAATAAATGAAACTCCAACTCATTTATTTTCTCTGCCAATATTTTGCAACCACACCCAAGTTAACATTTTGGAAAACATCTGTAACAGTGGCCCTGGACTCTGACCCAGCCAAGACCACAACAATGACAATGTTTTCTTAGTAGCAAACATGTTTCTAAACAAAAGCTCTGTAAAAACTCTCTGCAGCTGTTAAAGCGGCTAATATTTGATCAAGTGGTGATCAGCTGGGCTGTCATCACAAATGAAAAGAGACAATGGTTGAGGTGCACATAGAGAAGGAGTGTTTTGACTTACTTTATATAGACTCAGCAAGAGTCCTTAGATACATTAATCCTTCTGTTTTGTTTATAAGTTGTGATCAAAGTTTGTTATGGTTGTGGGAAGACTGAAATACCGAGATTAAGTTGGAAGTCATTTCATTCACCCCACCCATTCCTCCAGTTGAAGATCCTTATCCTTTCGAGACATCACAATGCACACAGTTGAGGCTGGTTTCAAATGTAACATACTGTAACCACTCTCAATTAATACACAACATAGCAAGATCGTGAGTTAACCAGTCTACATTAACATATGACTGAATGTGGGTTTAGTATTTGATTCCTACAGCTGCTTTAGAGTATAAAAAAGCTCCTTAATTTCATGAAATCACTGCAGCATGTGAAGGCAGGAACAATGATAAACCTGCAGCCTCTGGGATGGGATGTGCTGTTTCTCCACTTCATTTTGAGATCTTCGTGAATAACTCGGTTTACACTTGCAGTAATGACATTTAGCTCTGAACATGTTTCGCAGCTAGGTGTGGTAGCAGTGGCGTCGTTAGACCTGGGCATTCGGGGCTACAGCCCCGGAGGTTTTTTGCAAAGCCCCGGATCTCAATTTTTTTTAACAATAATTGAAAAAATAGTCCAGGATCTATGCATCTGTCATTCCGATCTTGCATGAAAGCCAGGGTTGTAGTGCTGCCGGAACGCACCAGAACGCCACTCCGGCACTTCAGAAATTGCAGTACACATAAGGAGCTGTACAGTGGCATTGCCTGGCCTGGGCCAGCCCCGGACAATTCTCCCTCAATAATATAATACCTCATCATGACACTAGAGAGGACGGCAGGATTGTAATTTCCCGTGTTCAGTGAATGCAACAGAGGCAAGACACCAGAGAGAGAGAGAGCGCACCGGTGCCAGCAGGGACCGTGTTGTTAGCATCTGGTTAGCTGGCCGCACTAACATTACATTGCATTTAGCTGACACTTTTATCCAAAGCGACTTACAATAAGTGCGTTCGACCAACAAAATACAAACTTGAAGAAAACAGAATCATATAAGTACATCAGGTTTCATAGAGCAAAAACATTTCAAGTGCTACTCAACTGGCTTTAGATAAGCCAGTCCTTTATTAGTATATAAGTGCTTTGTTAACAGTTCTATCGCTCAAAGTGGAGTCGAAAGAGATGAGTTTTCAGTCTGCGCAGGAAGGTGTGTAAGCTATCTGCTGTCCTGACTTCAATGGGGAGCTCATTCCACCATTTTAGAGCCAGGATAGCAAACCCACGTGTTTTTGCTGATGGGAACTTGGGTCCCCCTCGCAGTGCGGTTGCAGCGAGCAGTTTGGCTGATGCAGAGCGGAGTGCACGTGCTGGGGTGTACAGTTTAACCATGTCCTGGATGTAGGAAGGGCCAGATTCATTTGCAGCATGGTATGCAAGTACCATTGTCTTGATGTGGATTCTAGCAGTTACCGGAAGCCAGTGGAGGGAGCGGAGGAGCGGCGTGGTGTGGGAACATTTAGGACCGTTTTATTTTGAAAAGGTTTATTTTGAAGAAAACCGGATGTTTACATATTACGTCATTTCCGGTTTCACGTAGTCTTTGTTTTTAGCCGTTAGAATGTAGCAAACAGAATGTTATGAATGAGAATGTAATGATTAAAGACTTGTGGAGTTATAAAATAAGCACACAATGTCTAAATCCTCTTATTTGACATGATATTAAGGCGAGACACCCCAGGTGAATAGGGTAATTTTTTTAACTTAAAGGTATCAGCTAGAAATTTCTCCAGTTAATTACTTACAATAAGGCAATTGTCTTTTGTATTACAAGTTTTTCTGAAATAGCATGTTTAAATATGCAAATTATCCATTATCTCATTAAATATGCACATATTTTAACACATTTCAGGAATCGAAATCTGAACTTTGGATAAAGCCAGATTCAAAATTATTGTTTCATTTTGTAGTCATATTAGTATCTAAGGCTTTTACAGAAGGGATTTTGGATATCTCTTTTTATCACTCCATAAATCAGAAAATACTGTCAACAGCCCTAAAATATCCATTTTCGCCATGTTTTTAGGTATACAATGTTGTATAATTCAGGCTATGAATTATATATGAACAAACCCTTCTGTAAAAGCCTTCATAATATTGATAGGAATATAACTGGAAGGTTTGGTGTATGTACGTGCTACTGAAGTTGACATTTCGAACTCAGAGTAGGAGAAAAAACTCAATTTGAGAAAACGACCTTTAAAGATTGCAGTGAGGCGCTAGCTAAACCCTCCTGTTCTTTGGATGACAGCTTGTACATCGACGCACTCCGTGAAGGTATTTCATGTTCAGGGTCATTTTTTTTATATAACCTTGCTTCGTGCAAGTGACAATTGTTGTCGTCTTCTCTGTGAACGTTTTTTTCGCCGTTCTTTTGGCATTTTGAGATTTCAATTTCTAGCTGAAAGCTAACCAGGAAGTGTTTTAGTACACCACGTGACGCATCTGAACGAATCACGTTGTCAGAAATTGACACCAGCCAATGAGATTTCGTTTCTTGTTTTAAGACCCCTTTGTGCTTTCACGATTGGTTGCTGATACAAAGGAAATGACCATATTTGGATCCGATGAGATTGTGCAGGAGAGACACAGCTTTCCAGCGATACCTCTGTTGACATGGTGCACACAGCGGTCGCGGTACTTTATGTTACGTTAGAATGCTAACTTTTGGTGAATTTAGGAGAAATCTACAGACGCAAATAGACAAACTATAGTAAAATAAACACTTAAATGTGTATTTTGTACGTTTTCCTTCCAAAAGCCTGAAAGAAAACATGTTATGGAATCAAAATAGCACAAAATCTCAAAATTGACCAGTACTTGAAAAACGATGTTTTTGCCTGCCGTGTCTCGCCTTAATCACAAACGTATGGAGCCGGGAGGAAGACACGCCCCTCGTCGAAGCAGTCAATAAGAAGAAGAGGACAGAATCAGATATACTTGAATGTACGGGGGACTATAGTCTCTCTCTTCTCCTGCACAGCTGTGTGACTTTTCTGCTTGATCCAATACAACGCTACTTCATTAAATATTCCTTTAAACTTCCTGAGACCCCATTTGTCTCCTTATTTAAACGTACTCCTGGACTTGGAACAAAGAACAATCTACACTGTAGATTGTTCTTTGTTCAATATTTCTCGCTATTCAGATGGTCTGCTGCCTGGTGCTGCTGTTGCGCAATGTGCAGTAGTGTCCTCTTTTCGCACCATGACTATCAGTTATGAATTTGTTTTTCACTGCTTGAGAAAATGGACTTGTGGCTGAGAGCGTGTGAAAAATGTCAATTGTGTGAGAGTTGGCAGCCCTGTGAACTCGCTTGACATTATTATGTATGAAACTGTGTGTGTGTGTGTGTGTGTGTGTGTGTGTGTGTGTGTGTGTGTGTGTGTGTGTGTGTGTGTGTGTGTGTGTGTGTGTGTGTGTGTGTGTGTGTGTGTGTGTGGGGTCCTTGGCTGAAAAACAATTGAGAACCTCTGATCTACAGTACCTTAATTTCAAACCTTTATTTAACCAGGTGGTCCCATTGAGATAATCGATCTCTTTTTCAAGGGAGACCTGCAGATGGGAAACCCTACATGTGTGAGCACCCGCTATGAAATGTCAAGCTCCAGCACCCCCAAAAGAAAATCTATGGCGCCGCCACTGTGGGCTAAGCCCCTAATGTTTCCAGGCCCAAGATACGCCCCTGGAGCTGGACCATGAGCTGTACACATGCTGCGTTTTTTGCGTAACTGTGTCTTTAGTTAAACCCAGTGGCGGTCTGTTCATCTGTCATATGATCATACAATAAAGCCATCGAAGTAGTAAAAGTTCTTCTGGGTCTTTGTGTGTCATTCAAGCTCGGCCCTGTGTGTGTGGCACGAGCGCATTTTGTGTGAGTAAGCTAGCGAGCGAGAGAGCGCACCAATACTGGGGATTGTTGTTGTTAGCATTTGGTTAGATAGCTAAGCTAACGGATATAAACAGCTGTTTCTACAACAAGGTGGAGGAGAGTCCTCTCTTGTCAGACTAAGAGGCTCAGATAACTACAGCTCAGTGAAGTAAAGCACTCTCTGAGTGTTTAGATAGTTCACTTTAGTCTAATGCCCCTTTTCCACCAAACCGGTTCTGGTTCAAGGTCCGTTTTTGTGCTTTTCTGGTGCTTAACTGGTTCTTTTCTGTAGCACCACTTGTGTTTCCACCGCTCAGAGCCCGACTGGTGCTGCCGCTGCTGCATCATGACATCACCACCGTTTACGTAGCTGATTTTCTCCCCAACGCCGCTCACAACAATAGGGGACTGCGTCGGGTCGATGATCGTGTTGCTTTTAATCATACGAAGCCAGATTAAATTAAATAACTACTTCTCAACTCTTATACTTTTCTCCAGAGTGCCGTGGTTCATTGTTTATTAATGTGGTTCAGCGGCATTTACTGACAGCTGCAGTGCTGCTCGTCCACCGGAGTTTAGTCTACCATTAACTCACAGCAGAGTTTATTCTACCGTTAACTCACGGCAGCGGCCGCTGTAAAGTATTCACTGTCTGACTGTCACACAAGCAGCTGATACATATCCCCAATTCCCCATAAGTTAATGTGTTTCAGTCTGAATTGACGCTGTTTGGCATCAAAACGCTGTTATGAAAGTTTCTCTGGTATAAAAGGAGTGATGTTAGCATAGCAACCGAAGCTAATCTGACTATCTTGACTACTTGTTGCTATCCTATTGTCAAGTCTCCTCTGATTTTGGTGTAGAGTTCCCCACTTGAAAGGGACTTGAGGCATCTACCGGACTTTCAAACAGGATTTCACTCCAATGACACAGCTTTTTATTTTCATACTTTTTATTTCAGCAGTTTACTTAAACCAAATGTCCAATTGCTGAATGGGCCATTTTGTGTAGGTGAAAAACCTTTGAAAACAAGAAAGATGCATTTAGAACTTGCAGGTTATCAAAATAAATAAAGCATGTAAACAATACACTTGTTTGGCAACTGCTGCCTTAATTGTGAATATGTTTCAAATAAACTGGGCAGACTAAGCACATAAATATCCATTTTAAACATGAAATAGTTTCTTTAAACCCAAGCTCTTTTAAAATCTCAGCAGATTTAATTAACTGGACTTTACTAGAAATGTTTTTAACAAATCAAATTCATTATATTTAAACAAGAAAATATTCTTTCCTCCATTTTAACTGAAGTATTCAACCAATTAAACAAGATTTTATTAGAAATGTTTTTAATAAATCAAATTAATTATTTGTAACAAGTGTAAGGAAAATGTCTGTCTTATGGACAGAGTTAACATGGGACTTGTCCTTCAAATGTACTGATGTCCGCACAATGGAAATGTGATGTCAACTACCAATGCAAATTCCCTGCCACCGGACACATTGCAGGACACATTTGACCAACTATGCCTACACACATGCAACACTTGGGGGTTCTCTATGTATGTGTCTGAGGGTAAAATAATCATCATTCTGTATATAAATATGTTTGTCAATATCATGGACATTTCCTTTTAAATTGGGGTCCAAAAAGCTGACACAAGATACCCGCAGATAAGCACTCATCTCGGACTAAAATCCTCAATGCATAGCAGTTTTAATGGCATGCCCCCATTTTTTTTTTTATTCAGTGTTACCAAGGGCACGAACTTCTGACCGGTGTTCCCTCTTGGTTTAGTCCGTGGGGGAGTGATGTCAACTTCCAATGCAAAGTCCCTGCCACCGGCAGGACACATTTTACCAACTATGCCTACACACATGCAACACTTGGGGGTTCTCTATGCATGTGTCTGAGGGTAACATAATCATCATTCTGTATATAAATATGTTTGTCAATATCATGGACATCTCCTGCTAAATTGGGGTCCACACCCTGCTGACACAGCAGTGACTCTGCTGTACATTTCATGAGTCAAATGTGGATGAAATGGACAGGTTTCAAGCTTCTTTCCTGGGTTACATAGTGCTGTGAAGCAGCCTGTCCTCTGGGTGGTGGGAGAGCGAGGTGCTGGAAGGAGCTCTCTGGGTCACATCCTGCTGCTGCTGCTGCTGCTGCTGCTGCTGCTGCTGCTGCTGCTGCTGCTGCTGCTGCTCTCTCTCCCTCTCTGTATTCACAGCACTTTTACCCAGCATTCACACACTCATTCCTGGGTAAGAAAGCCATGTGCATCACCCTGGATCTCTGCCTGTGAGTGTGGGACCCTGCTTACAGCAGTGAACCTGCTGCCAGCATTACAAACATATTAATCAGGCATTTTAACACTTTTTTCCCATGAAAATGATTTGTATTCACTATCATGGGGCTATATAAATCAAATTGCGGGTAATTAGGAGCACAATTGTACCTTTTACTATTTAAATGTATTTGTATTATATATTTTTTGGCTATTAAAGTGACATTTCTGGGTGACTTTGTCAGTTTATGGAGCTTAGCCCACAATTCCCGGAGGTTCCAGGCCGAATTTGGGAGCTCATCGGCGGCCTGCCATGCGCCCCCACCCGTGGAAAGCAAAACAAAGTAAAGAAAACGGTCAATGATATCTTAAAATAATCAAAAATGAAGTTCCTGTCCATTTCATGTACATTTGGTCGTGTCCATTTCATGTACATTTGGTCGTGTCCATTTCATGTACATTTGGTCGTGTCTATTTCATGTACATTTAATGGGTAGTCAAATGTGGATGAAATGGACACAATTCCCGGAGGTTCCAGGCCAAATTTGGGAGCTCATATGCGGCCTGCCATGCGCCCCCACCCGTGGAAAGCAAAACAAATGAAATAAAACGGTCAATTATATCTTAAAATAATCTAAAATGAAGTTTTAAAAAATTCTCCAACGGAGGAGGGGATCACAAAAGCTCAAGTCTTCGGCGCTTCCGGCGGAAGCCCCGGAGACATTTGCACTACCCCGTTGCATTTTAAAACGGAGAGGGGAATCGAGACCTCCCTTCCTCCGTCCAAAAAATTAATTCATCTTTTCCAAGCTACCATCTGCACGAAATCAGAAACCCGGTTTTTGAGAGCACTTAGAAAAAAACGGGCTATTTCACATGATGGGGAAATCATGGAGGAATGCATCCGCTACATGAGCACTTTGGATCGGATACAATTGTTGCCTGGAGAACCCCCAATCATGGTTCTTACAAAACTTTAAGTTTTTGAACTGGTCTCTGGAGGAATGCGAGGGGAGTTTGGGCATATTCTCCCCGCATATGGAGCACTATTTTCGGATACATTTTTTCCATTTTCACCCCTTTTTATGGTTCTTCCAAAAGTTAACTTAGACTTTTTCTGACTCTGGAGGAATGTAAGGAGAGTTGTCAGGGGACTCTACCCGCCTTATGGAACACTATTTTCGAATACAATTTATCCATTTTCACCATTTTCTCTGGTTCTTCCAAAAGTTAACTTAGACTTTTTCTGACTCTGGAGGAATGTAAGGAGAGTTGTCAAGGGACTCTACCCGCCTTATGGAACACTATTTTCGGATACAATTTATCCATTTTCACCATTTTCTCTGGTTCTTCCAAAAGTTAACTTAGACTTTTTCTGACTCTGGAGGAATGTAAGGAGAGTTGTCAGGGGACTCTACCCGCCTTATGGAACACTATATTCGGATACAATTTATCCATTTTCACCATTTTCTCTGGTTCTTCCAAAAGTTAACATAGACTTTTTCTGACTCTGGAGGAATGTAAGGAGAGTTGTCAGGGGACTCTACCTGCCTTATTGAACACTATTTTCGGATACAATTTATCCATTTTCACCATTTTCTCTGGTTCTTCCAAAAGTTAACTTAGACTTTTTCTTACTCTGGAGGAATGTAAGGAGAGTTGTCAGGGGACTCTACCCGCCTTATGGAACACTATTTTCGGATACAATTTATCCATTTTCACCATTTTCTCTGGTTCTTCCAAAAGTTAAGTCAGACTTTTTCCTGATTTCTCACTGATCGAATGGCAAACGTGACCCGTCATCGGAGGGCCTCCGCCGGCCCGGCCTCGTGCCTGTGCTCTGGCGGTCGGTTCCTCCGAACTGCGGGTTCGACTCTGATGGCAGGGAGGGTGTGCTGCGTGGGGGTAACCCTGCGTGTCTCTTCCCTCCCAGGACGCCCAATATGAATCGTGACCGAGACGAACCGTCTGACTCAGGGGTCCCACCACGGGTCCCGCGGCGGGATGGAGTCTCCAGCCCGGAACCTCCATCCCTACCTACGCCGCGGTGCGCCCGGCACACACTGTAGTTTCTCGAACCCTCCACTGTTGCTTAGCGGCCTTTGTCGGCTGCGGCATTCAGTAATCAGCCTTGCTCCGGGCACCGGTTCCCCCGGGGACCAACGTTCGGTGGCTTCACATGATATAGGGTCGACCCTACTTCATCACAGGCTACCTGGTTGATCCTGCCAGTAGCATATGCTTGTCTCAAAGATTAAGCCCTGCAAGTCCAAGTACACACGGCCGGTACAGTGAAACTGCGAATGGCCCATTAAATCAGTTATGGTTCCTTTGATCGCTCTAACGTTACTTGGATAACTGTGGCAATTCTAGAGCTAATACATGCCAACGAACGCTGACCTTCGGGGATGCGTGCATTTATCAGACCCAAAACCCAGGCGGGGTGCCCCGGCCGCTTTGGTGACTCTAGATAACCTCGAGCCGATCGCTGGCCCTCGTGGCGGCGACGTCTCATTCGAATGTCTGCCCTATCAACTTTCGATGGTACTTTCTGTGCCTACCATGGTGACAACGGGGAATCAGGGTTCGATTCCGGAGAGGGAGACTGAGAAACCATGATATAGGATTTACCCTACTTCATCACAGGCTACCTGTATGATCCTGCGTAACAACCATATATGCTTGTCTGACCCGCCATCGGAGGGCCTCCGCCGGCCCGGCCTCGTGCCGGTGCTCTGGCGGTCGGTTCCTCCGAACTGCGGGTTCGACTCTGATGGCAGGGAGGGTGTGCTGCGTGGGGGTAACCCTGCGTGTCTCTTCCCTCCCGGGCCGCCCGATATGAAGCGTGACCTAGACGAACCGTCTGACTCAGGGTCCCCACCACGGGTCCCACGGCGGGATGCTTGTCATATATGCTTGTCTGCAAAGAGTGAACTGCCTGGTCCTGCCCTGGTGTTCCTCTACGGCTAGTGTCCAGCCGTCAGCTGTGCTATCAGCAAATTTGACCCACCATCGGAGGGCCTCCTTCCCGGGTCCACATGCCGGTGCTTGGCGGTCCGAATAATAATATTTTACAGGGCTCAGGGGTCTGCACTTTGAAGCTCCTGGAGTGGACAAATATGTGTGTATTTACCTGAATGATGGAAATAAACAAAAAATGCTATTTTACAGGACATGACTGATATAGGTGTATTTTCACAGCTTTTTGGAAATACACCAAATGTGATTTTGCAGGGCAACACGAAGCTCATTTTACCCATGTGATGTTGTGCAGAACATTACGGAGCTCTCGTTTAACCACATGGCGTACCAGGGGCACTAAGGGGCACTAATGTCTTACTTGGATGTACTTATGTGTTTAGTCAGAGTGAGAGTGCTTGAGTTTGGGTACACATCTTTGCCAGACGCAAGGTGAATAGGGGCATAGGGGCGTTATTAACACGTTAACTTGACAGCCCTAATAATAACATATTTTAATGTTGATTAACTGCAGACTGTTCATTCACAATCTGATTATCTTTGTAGTACAAAGTGATGAATTTAAAAAACATATTAAAATAAAAATAAATACATTATTTCTACAGCTGCTAAATAATCAAACCTCTTTTTATAAATAACACACTTGCTCTGCAATAATGTCATAGGTTTGATTTTTCTTGTCATTTCTGTTAGGAAAGGACATACCTGAAGGACACAACTGCCTCACCGTTTTCTCAGAGGGGCAAGAAGAAAATGAAAAGCTGATGTCAGATTAAAGACCAATACAGGACATTCACTAAGAAACTACTCTTTTATTGTGAACACAAAGTTAAACAGGACCATCATTTGTTTGTGACAGCTGTGCCCAGTATGGGCTCACAGATGCAGTTAGGGGGTTTCTTCATCAGGCCTGGTCCTCCTCCATCAGGCCTGGTCCTCCTCCCAGAGAAAGACCTCTCCACCTCAGTCCTCTCCAGCCAAACCCACAGACAGGACATCCGTCACACTGAGGTTTCTCCCAAAGTCTCTGCAGCTCTCTGGACACCACGCTGTCTCAGTTGAACCACACTGTGAATATGAGAGGGGAAAACGTGTGTATATCAATAAATGTAGTTGATTTTGTCTTTTTAATTGTTTAAAGTAATATAACTGGTGCTTAAGAGTTTTAATACAGTCTGGTTGCGGAGGAGGCACACAGGTAAGAGCACTCACTAGCTACCATATGTAACTAAGCTTGACTTGAATTTATTAAAAGTATAATTAAGTGACAGCAACAAATCAATAGCTAAAATAATGCACATATTTTAATCTTTGCTGGATCCACTGTTGAATTTACCACATATTATATATTTTAGAAACCTGAAGGTATTTATAGATTTGTATGCAAGTAATATCCCAAAACTCAATACCTTAGATTATTATATAAAGTTTTGCTGAATAGTTTCATGTTGACTTACCTTAAGCAACGTAAAACGTGCAGATCGGGAGCAACAGATGTAGGTTAGCCGGCTAGCTGGAGTACATACATAGGTTAGTCTTATATTTACTTACTGTTAACTGACTAATACATAATACATAACTGTTGGCTAGAAGTACACAGCTTAATCAACCATATTTAACAGGCCATTGTCCTCTCAGCCTGAAATATCAATCACTTAATTAAATGGTAAAACAAAAAAAGGAAAGGTTCTGGCTCAATTTCGGCTTATGGCACATTTCCACTGCAGCGGGGTAGCCCCGTTTAAGCGTCCTCGCTCAGGCCTCAGTCTGCCTCGCTGGCCGTCCGAGGCCGTGGCGTATTTCCATTACAGTTTAGGACCTGGGGTAGCAACGCAGTGTAGGCGGGGCTCCCGTTGAGCTCCCGCTGGATTTTATCATCCCCAATGAGATGTAGGAACGTCGTCACCTCCTCGGTCGACCACGGTGTGCTTTTCTTTGACGTTGCCATTTTTGTAGCTCCTCCGTTTACAAAAATGCTGTGTATAAAAATGCTGCAAGCTTGCTTCTAGATATATATGCGACGCTAGGGATGATCTCGCGCGCAATCTTGTGACGATTCTCTCTGACCAATCAGCAGTCGAGAGTGTTGACGTCACTAGTTCAGCCCTGACCCTGGCCTGATAGAACCACCATTTTATGGGGCCGGAAAAAGAGGGAAAAAGTACCCGCTAGCCGGTGCTACGCTATATGGAAAGGCCACCAAAAACTGTCCTGGTCGCTTGAGGACGAATAAGGACGCTTAAACGGGGCTACCCACTGCAGTGGAAATGCGCCAATAGTTAGCTTGTTAGCTTATTGCAGCTGTGCATGATGCTAGCGGATTGCTAGGCCACCTCACGAGCTGCGCCAGGTGATGTAAACAAGAACAACTCCATAGACCAGACCGTCTCAGTTTGTTGACCGCTCGGCCCGGGGTCCAGCCTACGGCTGCGGTGCCGTTTCTCTAAAAATCCATGCTGTAAATAAATAATAAATAATATAAATACATTCTTCTGTTTCGTTCTTCTTCTTCTTCATCTTCTTTAACACTAGAACCGCCAACGGGTACATTTCACCCACAGCTGTTTTTTTATTGTATGTAACTTTATTTCAATAACATATTAAAGTCTCCCAGTCCGTGACTTTTCCTGAAAGTGTGTTATGTAGCACCCTCTGTTGTTAACAATTGTCAATATGAAGTCAGATTGAAAAAATCGCCAAAAAAAATGCCATTTTTACCTATATCCGTCAGCGGGTAATATTTACCTCATAGAAAATGCAGTGTAAACATGACGTGTTGCTATAGCAATGCCTTTTGTCTACTGCGGTTCCTTATAGATAGAGAGATAGATTGAGAGAGAAGGATAGATAGATAGATAGATAGATAGTTATAGATAGTGTAACATCTTGGAGAATACAAGATCTTGGATGACTGAGCTCACGTTGAGGATGTAATGCATGTGTGCAGGTTACGTGCCAGTTGAATAAAGATGGACACTCGGAATGAGAGAAGTAGTCCGCGTCGTCTGTTTATGTAGACAATTATATGTCCATAGAACAGAACATTACGGATAGATCGATAGATAGTTATAGATAGATAGAGAGATTTGTACCTAAACAAAACACAAGTCTAACACCAAGCGTTTAAATCAGCACTCTTAGCGATATTTTATACTTCATGCTATCTGCACAAACTATATCACATGAAAAGCTGAGAGTCCACAGATTCTATTGGTATAAGTTTCATCCCTGTGCGATCAAAACTCACTGTTCTGTATGATAAATAAAAGAACATTGTACCTTGAAAATCAATAGCGGGTACATTTTACCCGTTGGCAGTTTTAGGTATACAGCGACCTCTGGCGGTTCTAGTGTTAATTTGCAACCAGGCGAGCATTATCGCCACCTAGGCTGCAACAAGTCCTCCAACTCATACGACCAAATGGGTCGATTGTTTAAGCCCTTATTACGACCAAATATGTCGTTTGTTCAAGCGCTTAATACGACCTATAATTACGTTTTAAAGTTGTCGGCCTCTAGTGCTCCCGTTGAATGCAAACGTTACAGATGGTCGTTTATTCACAAATAACCCTCTCTGTAAAATCCTAAATTGTAGGATAATTTGGCCATTAAAACGCTTTATGATTAGATTTCTAGCGAGAAGTAAATATTGTACTTTTAGAATTCACGTCCAGTCGTTATATAGGATCTATAGTTTGATAGATATTACGAAGATGATTTGAGGTTTCGTCAGGAGAACGTGTATATGCGGCAAGCTTCCATGTAAAGTTACGGGTTGAAAACAGTATTTCCGGTCTCGACGTTTTCATAATAAAACCAATGATCAAATGATTTAACAGTGATATCTGCAGTACTCATCCACTAAAAAACATCAGTTTATCCTAGTTAATTATACGACATTAATTGGTTTAAATTGTGTACAATGATTTTGTGTTTTTCCCATAGGGTTTTCTCTTTTGATTCTGAGAGACACATTTCTTTTTTCAGAGGTTTTGATAGGCTAAAATCACGCCGCAATGCACGTCGGGATATGGTGTTTATGTGATATGAAATCGGAAAACATTTAAAAAAATAATAATAATACTTTATTCCGAGTGTTCTTGCTTTTCTCTTTGAAAGTCATCACATAACGGCATTGTAATACACGGTTCGGCTGCATTAAATATTACATATCTGCCCTAGATATTTATTTATAGAGCCCTGATCAGAAGACTTCTGGACAAACTGGAAGAGATGCCGCCAAAACTGAATACGTGACGTGGACCATAAAATATCAACAATTAAACAACATCTTCCATTTATTTTCACACAATACGTCTCCTTGCAGTATCAACACTAATTCGGCTGACTTTTATATTTGATCCAATAAGTAGATAGTCTGTATTTACACCATAACGGTGCACAGCTGATAGAAAGGGATTTTTTTGTAGTTTTTAAAGATATTACTGATTTTCTGAACTACCTTTCCAACTCCTCATGCAGTTGACTGTTACAGGTCTATACAAGTTTATGGTACAATGCATAAGCTTCACATTGAGAGACTGAAACTGTATTTTCCTTTACCGTTCTGTTTTAATTTCA